GTGGCATTTAATGTCTTGATGACAAGTATGTTTGAGAATCATGTGGCATTTAATGTCTTGATGACCAGTATGTTTAAGAATCATGTGGTATGTGATGTCTTGGTGACCATCATGTCCAGAAATCCTGTGCTATTTAATGGCTTGGTAACCTTCATGTCTAGGAATCCTGTAGCATGTAATGTTGTTGTGTCTAGGAATCCTGTGGCATGTAATGTCTTGGTGACTGTTGTGTCTAGGAATCCTGTGGCAAGTAATGTCTTAGTGACTGTTGTGTCTAGGAATCCTGTGGCAAGTAATGCTGTTGTGACTGTTGTATCAAGGAATCCTGTAGAATGTAATGTTGTTGTGTCTAGGAATCCTGTGGTATATAATGTCTTGGTGATCATCATGTCTAGGAATCTTGTGGGATTTAATGCCTTGTTGACTGTCATCTCTAGGAATCCTGTGGGATGTAATGTCTTGGTAACTGTCATCTCTAGGAATCCTGTGGGATGTAATGTCTTGGTGACTGTCATGTCTAGGAATGCTATGGCATGTAATCCATTGGTGACTGTTATCCCTAGGAATTCTTTGGATTGTAATGTTTTTTGACCATCATCTCTCAGAATCATGTGGCATTTAATGTATTGATGACCAGTATGTTTAAGAATTATGTGGTATGTGATGTCTTGGTGACCATCAAGTCCAGAAATACTGTGCTATTTAATGGCTTGGTGACCCTCATGGCTAGGAATCCTGTGGAATGTAATATCTTGGTAACCCTCATGTCTAGGAATCCTGTGACATGTAATGTTGTTGTGTCTAGGAATCTTGTGGTATTTAATGGCTTGGTGACCGTCATCTCTAGGAATCCTGTGTTATGTAATGCCTTGGTGACTGTGATCTCTAGGAATCCTGTAGCATGTAATGTCTTGGTGACTGTCATGTCTAGGAGTCCTATGGGATGTAATGGCTTCGTGACCATGATCTTTAGGAGTCCTGTGGGATGTAATGGCTTCGTGACCATGATCTTTAGGAGTCCTGTGGGATGTAATGGCTTCGTGACTGTCTTCTCTAGGAATCCTGTGGGATATAATGTCTTGGTGACTGTCATCTCTAGGAATCCTATGGCATGTACTGCCTTGGTGACTGTTACCTCTAGGAATCCTTTGGAATGTAAGATCTTGGTGACCATCATCTCTAGGAATGCTGTGGAATGTAATGTCTTAGTGACTGTCATCTCTAGGAATCCTATGGCATGTACTGCCTTGGTGACTGTTACCTCTAGGAATCCTTTGGAATGTAAGGTCTTGGTGACCATCATCTCTAGGAATGCTGTGGAATGTAAGGTCTTGGTGACTGTCATGTCTAGGAATTCTGTGGGATGTAATGTCTTGGTGACCATGATCTCTAGGAGTCCTGTGGGATGTAATGGCTTGGTGACTGTCATCTCTAGGAATCCTATGGCATGTACTGCCTTGGTGACTGTTACCTCTAGGAATCCTTTGGAATGTAAGGTCTTGGTGACTGTCATCTCTAGGAATGCTGTGGAATGTAATGTCTTAGTAACCGTCATGTCTGGAAATACTGTGGTATGTAATGTTGTTGTGACTGTCGTGTCTAGGAATCCTGTAGCATGTAATGTTGTTGTGACTGTCATGTTTAGGAATCCTGTAGCATGTAATGTTGTTGTGACTGTCGTGTCTAAGAATCCTGTGGTATGTAATGGCTTGGTGACCCTCATGTCTTGGAATCTTGTGGTATGTAATGTCTTGGTAACTGTCATGTCTAGGAATCCTATAGAATGTATTGGCTTGGTGTCTGTCATCTCTAGGAATCCTGTGGAATGTCATATCTTGGTGACCATCATGTATAAAAATGCTGTGGCATGTAATGTCTAGGAATCCTATAGAATGTATTGGCTTGGTGTCTGTCATGTCTAGGAATCCTGTGGAATGTCATATCTTGGTGACCATCATGTATAAAAATGCTGTGGCATGTAATATCTAGGAATCTTGTGGCATGTAATGTCTAGGAATCCTGTGATATGTAATGTCTTGGTGACTGTCATGGCTACAAATCCTGTGGCATGTAATATCTTGGTGACTGTTATCTCTTGGAATCCTATGGTGTGTAATGTCATGGTAACCATCATATCTAGGAAATCTGTAGTATGTAAGGTCTTGGTGACTGTCATGTTTAAAACTCCTATGGTGTGTTAAGTTTAGGAATCTTGTAGCATGTAATATCTTTGTGAACATCATGTCTAGGTATCCTGGGGTATGTAAGATCGTGTCTAGGAATCTAACTATTTATATCATTAATTATGCTGCTGTATTTTGACTATCTAGGTAGTGCAATCTTGTCTTGATTGTGTTGTGATATTACTAATATTCCATCATCTTATCTCATTCAAATCTAGGGTATTATAGCAGCTGTTTTTACCTTTGAGATGTTTCATCAAGAAATTACTGATTGCTGGTAATAGGTTCGAGATAATAGCTAGGCTTTTTGGCTGATAGGTGTGAGCCAAAGGCTAGGTCTTCTTGGGTGATAGGTGTGAGCCAAAGGCAAGGCCCACTTGTGTGATAGGTTTGAGCTGATGGCTATGTCTTCCTGTTATTGAAAGAACACCCAGGTTGAATTCTACATATAGTTCTTCTCTGGACTTTTGTGTAGATTGCAACTGATAACAGAATATAAACTAGTTGATAGTTAGTATCTAATGAGGAAAAACAAGTAAATATTTAACAGTTAGCCTTGTATAGTCATGTAGGTTACTTACCATGACATCAAACAGTTGGATGAGATGGAGTTTACTAAATTGTAGGAAATTTTGTACAGTTTTTGTACATTTTTAAAGATGGATTCAAATGGACAAGAGAAAGATCAGCTGGATTTAAGGTAATTTTGTAAGTTACGGTTTAGAGAATTTGAATGAACAAATCTAAAATTTGATTTCCTTTTTATAACATCTTATGAGATTCCTTTTTATCGTAGAAAATTTGTAAAACATATATACATATGTAACGTAACAACTTTTCTTTTATCCTGTTGGAAAATTCAATTTGTAGCAGTTAGAGTATAAAATATGGAGAGACTCGAATGGGTAATAAAATAAACTGTATTACAAGTAACAAATGTACAATGCTTCAACAAGGTTTTTCTCATCATCACGTACTGTCTTCTCCAAACTTCATTTTCTGAAAGTTTCATCAACTTTGTAGCAATAAGAGGCTTGTGTCTATTTCCTAAGTAACAACTTATCACTTATCCTTTTGAAAAATTTAACTTGCTGCAGTAAAAAGTTTTTGTCTGCACCTTCTCACTTATACTTTTGGAAAATTTGTAACTTAGTGCAATAAAAAGATTTTATCTATCCCACAAATAGCTTCTTAATTATTTTGTTTGAATATTTTTGATGCTACAATAAGAGACTTATGCTTGACTCCACAGTCTGATTTGTATAACTTCCATTTGTTTAAGTCTCTAGGATTTCTGCATACAGTTTTTGGAAAATATTTTCTTGACATATATAGTATATAATAAGGTTATATGAGACCCTGTATTTTATAAATCAGATTATTCAAAGGTTGACATCATTTAAGAATTCTTTGTTTTTATAGTATGTCTTTTTTTTTATTGCTTCTAACCAGTTTCCTATAATGAATATCCCTTCAGAAAAAATTGCAGGAATTCTTTGCTAATGTATTTTTCTACTTATTTTAAAGAACTTTATTAATAAAATATGCATAAGATCCTAAGCAGTGATAATAAAATCATTAGTAAGATCCATTATTTATCCAATGTTATGCAAATGTGAGCTTCCACTTTGATGCTAGTCATTTAGGTTTGCTGAGCAACTTCACTCTCACCAATAGTTATTAGTTACAAAATTATTTGATGTTCATTATCAGTGATGCAAGGCAGTAGGTGTCCTTCTAGTTATCAGTGATGCAAGGCAGTAGGTGTCCTTTTAGTTATTATCAGTGATGCAAAGCAGTAGGTGTCCTTCTGTTTGTTATCAGTGAGGTGAAATAGTAGGTGTCCTTGTTGTTATCAGTGAGGTGAAACAGTAGGTGTCCTTGTTGTTATCACTGAGGTGAAACAGTAGGTGTCCTAGTTGTTATCAGTGAGGCTAAGCACTAGGTGCCCTTTTAGTTATTGATGAAGTAAGGCAGTAGGTGTCCTAGTTTTCATCACTGAGGTGGGACAGTAGGTGTTGTAATTTTTATCAGTGAGGCAAGGAAGGAGATGCCCTTCTAGCTATTATCAGTGAGGCATGGCAGTGGGTGTACATCTAGTTGTTATCAGTTGGGTGTTTTAGTAGGTATCTTTCTATTTGTTATCAATAAGACAAGGCAGTAGATGTCCTTCTCATTATTATCAGTGAGGCCAAGCACTAGGTGTCCCTGTTGTTATCAGAGAGGCAGGGAAGGAGGTGCCTTTCTAATTTTTATTGGAGAGGTGAGGCAGTGGGTGTCCTTCCAGTTGTTATCAGTGAGGCTAAGCTGTAGGTGTCTTTCTAGTTGTTACCAGATAGGCAAGACAGTAGGTATCCTTCAAGTTGTTATCAGTGACAGTAAATTTCCTTTTAGTTGTTATCAGGCAAAGCAGCAGGTGCCCTTCTGGTTGTTATAAGAGAGGTGAGGCAGTAGGTGTCCTTCTGGTTGTTGTCAGTGAAGCATGGCAATTGATGTCCTAGTTGTTAATCGTGAGCTGAGGCAGTAGGTGTCCTAGTTGTTATCAGTGAGGCCTGGCAGTATGTTTCCTTCTATTATTTTTCAGTGAGGCAAGGTAGTCAGTGTTCTTCTAATTGTAAAATGTCCTAGGTCGGAAATGTTTTAAATAACCTGTTTGTTTTCATATGTACAGGGTGCTAAAAGGTTTCATAGCAGAAGTCATTCCTGTCTTTAATTTTTATTCTTGACCCACTTTATTACACATTTTGTTGTAATAATTAACTAATTTAAGAATTTTGAATTTGAAAGTTTTTCTAATTTATTTTCATGTAACAAAAGAAGTGCTCACAAACAGACAGAAAAGAAGAAACTCAAACAGTAAGTGTTTTTATTTTTTCTAGTTTTATTTTCATGTAACCAGAAAGTGCTCACAAACAGAAATGAAGAAACACATGTATATTGTTTGTAAAGTACAGGTTTTGATGAAAATGCTGAACCAGTACATTGTTCCTGTACTTGAAATTACAATTTTTTACATTTTTCTTTTGGTTTTCATGACAGAAGATTTGAAACTAATTTCTGACATTTGTTTCTAGGGGTGCCACCTAGCTGCAGACAGTAGTGGTAGCCCTGCTCCCACAGCAGCTGTTGAAGAAGAAAGTGATGGTAGAGAATTAGACAAGAAAGTCATGGTAGAGGATAGCAGGAAAGATACAAGTCGGTTGGAGTTGCAGGAAGCATGTAGGAGAGAGTCTGAGGATAGCTCTGAATCCAGTGAAAATAATTTGGGCATTAAATTAAAAAAGGAAAGTTAGATGAAAATATGTTGCCAATTGTTAAGATTAAAAAAGAAATAATTGATAGTAACAGTAAAGAGATGAACAGAGAAAGACAAGACTCTGAAGATAGCAACAGGTCTCTCTTAGATGACATTCAGTCTCTTGAAAATCTTTTAAAGAACAGTCACACTACAATACCAATTGATGTAGGTCAACTAGAAAACAAAATTATGGAGAAAATAGAACAAGAACCAAGTAAAAAGACAACCTTCAGTGGGAGAGAAGAAAAAATAATGAAAGACGGTGAAAAGAGTTCAAATGATGACCCAAATGAAGATTGGTGTGCAGTATGTCATGATGGAGGAGAACTATTGTGTTGCAGTAACTGCCCTCGGGTATTCCATCTTAATTGCCATGTTCCTGCTATTTTAACTACTCCTGAGTAAGTATCCTGTTAGAAGTAATAATACACTAAAATGTTAGTGGCTAACTAATGTTTTTGATAATTCCAGAAGTTCAAAGGCACTATGCATCAATATTATTTCAATAATCAAACTATATAAATATTTTTTTTATCATTTCAAAGTACAGAAGTAATTATATTTTTACTGTTTTTTGAAGTAAAGATCAAAGTACAAAATTAGTGATGTTTTTACTTTTTTTTTCAATGTTGAGAGTAAACAGTTATTCATGATAGTAAGTCATTAAAATACTTAAACTAGCTCTACTTTTCCATTTTTTACTGTCCAAAGGTAACATAATAATTGTTATCTTTCTTATTAAGTCTGGTTAAATTGTATTAAATTCTCCTTATTAAAGAGTGTTTAGCATCACGTGGTATTAGTGTAAGTAATGATGCTTGATATGGCTGTATGGAGTGCATGTGGGTGATGATAAAAAAAAATGTTATTCTAAATTCAATGGCATTACTATAAAGGAAGTTAACACAGTTTTAGAGAGAAAGAACTGCCACTATATATTTTAAAGAATCTGTTTGGTTCTGTAAAGTACAGATCTGTTCTGAATAATAGGGTTGAGATTCTAAAACTAATGTTGGCTACGATCTAGTTTTAATTTTTCTTACTTGCTGTGGTTTGTTGATGTATATTGACAAAAGTTCAGGATATATAATCAAACACACTAGGTATGAAAAAAAAAAAGGTGCAGCCAAAAATGATTCAGCGTGTACCTTAAAGGACCTTTCTGCAGGTTATTATTTTCTGTACGAAGTGGAATATCTGGAATAAATAAAAATTCAATAATGTACTAATAAGTCATATCAAACATTGAAGTTAACTTTCATTGAGTAGAAGACCCAGATGTCAGTACTAACTTTCTTGTTTTTATGTATATTTTTTACTTATTCTTATAAAAATAAATAAAATGCAAAACTTTGTTGCGTATCTGGTTGTTTCTTAATTATTTCTCTTCAATCTATCTCTGGCTTATATGCTAAAAAAGAGGGTGTCTAGCAAATGCTGGGACATTAGTGAGGTTGCCCACTAAGTCACGATCCTTATAGAAACTCCAGTCTAGAGTTGAAAACCACCTGGCTCCACTTAGGGCATTGAGAGTATCATCAATTCTGTGCAGTGGACATGAGTCTTTTTCGGTTATACTGTTAAGAGCCCTGAAATCCACACAGCAACGTTGGATCTCATCCTTCTTCTGGACTAACACGACAGGAGCTGACCAGGGACTATCTCATTTCTCAACTATCCCTTCCTTAATTAGGCCATCCATGACCTTCTCCATCTCTTGTTGCTTTGATGTAGCTATTCTTCTCAGAGGGATCTTTTGTGGACGGTGATTGCCTGTGTTTATTCTGTGCTCCACAAGGTCTGTGCAGCCAAGGTCATGGTCTCCTTTTGAAAAGACGTCTGCATAATTCGCCAAAAGTTCTCTAACCTGAAGAGCCTGTGATGATGACAAATGAACTATGCTCTTCTTATAGAGGTCAGTTAAATGTTCTAGAACTGTATGTCCTTTTTTTATAGTTGTATTTCTTGCTTTAAGATTGACAGGCTCTACCTCCTAACACACACTC